AAATACCGGATGGTTTCACTCATAGCAGGAGTATAATGGACCAGGCAAGAAAATAACAAGAATAATGAACAACCATATACCCGAGATATTTTGTGGGGGTGGAGTGGGGAATAGGATCAAAAATGGGGGGCTGGGGAGGGAAGTGCATGGGATTATGGTGATGGCACACGGGTGACTTGGTGATGGGAAACCCGTGGGGATTACAATTGAGATGGAAAAAAAAAATGTACAAAATGATGTAAAAATAAACTGCACAGGCCTTGATTTAAAAAGCAGAAAACCAACATAACATAATGAAAATAAATAAATAAATAAATAATGAAATGTGCCAACTTCAAATTCCAGTTCCACCACCTACTAATGGCAAAACCTTGGACAAGTGACTTAACCTCTCTTCGGCTTGGCTTCTTTACCTGTGGAATGGGACTAACGTCTACTTCACGGGGTATCTTCAGTACAACATTGCAGGCGTTCAACAAGAACTACATTATTACAGTTTTACAAAACAAACAAGTTGGATGATCAGAATGAAAAGCACATCCTGATGACACTTTCCTAGGTTAATCCCAAGTGAAAATAACCTACGGAGGCACTTCACCACTATTAATAAACCCAATTTTCCCTGCCATTCATCCCCATGACATTTTACTTGCTAAAAGGTATACTTAAATACCTGGTGAAGCAAAAGGTTAAGTCTTAGCACTATTAAGCTGTGGATAGCCACTGTAGCACAATTTCGATTCCCAGGCAGGGAACTGACCCAAATGGCGCAGCAGACCTCTCCTATCTCTCCTGCTGCTCCCCTCAGCAGTATATTTCAGTAGATCTGTCTGCTGTCTCTGGTGAAACCTCTCAACCCCCATGCCCCTGAGGTACACAGCAGTCTTTGTATGCATAATAAAAACAAATCTTTAAAAAAATATTTTAAATAAATAAAACGTATTCTTCTAGTTCTTACCCTCTGATTCTGTCTATACTAGTACCTACACTTCTGTACTCCATTCCCACAATCTCGTTCTTCCTCCAGCCTCACTTTCATCAGCCCCAATCCTTTCCCTCCCATTATGTCTAATTTAACCTCTTTCTGCAGTCTCTAGTCACACAGGAACTTCTCCCCAGCTCTCTATTCCTGTTACTGTTCTGTGAGCCATACTAGAGAGGCAATCATTTACGCATCCTCCTTCTAACTCTTTCTTCACTTACTTCCTACTTTTTCAGTTTCTGGGAGCCATAGTGAAGTAGAGAAGCAATCAGCTTTAATAATTATAATTTAACAATTACAATGAATAGTGAAAAATGGACAGAATGAAGACTGACCACAGAAGGACACTATAGTACCCAGACTGTATTTCTGGTTTTCTTTTCCAGTAGAAACTACTTCACAAGCTCATAGCACTATTTCATCTTCTCTAAAAACTATCACTGATTATAGCTACCTGCAATTTTCACTACCCTACCTCTATTATGGATAAACTTTTTTAAAGATTTATTTATTTATGCATACAGAACTGGACTACAGGCCAGAGATGCAGGGGCGGTGAGAGGATTCACCTGAGACACAGTGGGGAGCAGAACAGGTCGACTGATGAAGTACACTGCTGAGGGGAACAGCAGGTGGGTCAGGAGAGGTCTGCCGCATCATATGGGTCACCTCTGGGGCGGAGCTCAAACTCATGCTGAAGTGGCTTTAGCTTCTTAGTGCTGTGCTTTAACCCACTGCATACCACACAGGGCCCCAGATAAACTCTCTCTTAACCACTACGTAGCAGTTAAGAATTATCATCAGGGAGAGGTACTATAAGTTAAAATCTTTGGGAAAGTAAAAAACAAGGCTTCTCTGTATTATCTTACCTGGCTATGGAGCGACTCTGTATCATCCCTAGGAGGACTGACTGGCTTCTCACCACTTCCCCTCTCAGTCTGAACTGTGGCATCTTGTTTTCCAGAGTTCTGGTCCACTGTGCTGGTCCCCTGTTCACACACATTCTTTATAGTCTGGGTTGCTGCTGAAACAGTTTCTGGGACCCACAGGGAATGCTCTATGGTCTGAATTCCTATGTTATTCTGGCTGGGCCTTCCAATCAAGGCCTTACTGGGTTTTTCCCGATTGATATTCTGTCCTTCTTTCTGGTCTTCTAGCACATCTGTCTCCATTACTTCCCCTTGAGGACTGGATGGTCCCTCTGTGGCTATGTGCTGAGAGGTAGGAAAAGTAGGGTCCTTGACAGGACTACTGGGCTTCACAGACTGTTGACTCTGTCTGGTCCTGCTGTCTTCTTCCAATGTTTCCTTCGCCTCTTCTCTAGTACTTGGAAAATGGAGCAAGTTCCCCCTGAAAATTAACCATACAAAGAAATCACTTCAGGTGAGCATTTGTGTTGTGAGTATGTGTATAAAGGGAACTATACCTGACAACTTGAAAAATAAGGGGAAGAAGCTAACAAATCACTTTACCAGGCTCCTCATTATTTCACTGTGAAAAAAAAAGTACATAGTCATAAACCAATAGCTATAAACTCTGAAAACTTGACACAGGAAAGTAAATAAAGATGGAAAGTCACTGTTGAAATCACAATGAAGGTTGCTAAAGAATCTACTTCAATTAGATCAGATGTCTCATCAGAATTTATGAATGATTCTAACAGTATAAATACAGTTCATTCTCTCTTGACCAATACTTTTTGGGGAAGAAAAAAATCCTGTCTGTAAAGGGACAGAGTTAGAGGTAAGATCCTAGTTTCTCTGGCTATACTGCCAATATTTACAACTATCATTTCAGAATGAACTGGCTCCTGGAAGACCATCCTCAAGACTTTTTCTACTTCTTTTCAGGAGTCTTCCCAAGTGGCTATCAGGTCTGGTCATGTATCCCACAGTATTTGATGAGTATCTCCTACAAATTACAATCCACAAAGCTCTGAGGTACCTGGGGGCTTTCTGAAATGTCCTTAATAAAAAGGCCCAGATTAACTCTAAGATTACCCAGAAATCTGATATTCCAGTCTTACTGTCTTTACACTTAAAATACCTAACACATGGTTTACTATAAAATAAGTGCATAGTAAAGTGTACCTGGACCAAGAAAGTTAATGTTCTCACAACTAACTATAAAATATACACACTCAGTTTAAATAAGTTCATTATACAAGTGGTAAATTCATGTGGAAAACATTCATAACTTGTAATGTTTTATTAATTTACAAGTTCAATGAGTCAGTGAATTAAAAAAAATATATTTTCAGGTTATATTTAATGTCTAACAATCACAATAAAGACAAACAAGGAATCCATTCTGAACTGACCATGATGAGACCACATCTGGAATATCTATTTCAGTTTAGGGTGTTATGTTTTTAGCAAGACATAACTTAAGATATCCAGGAGATACCCTTCATGATGATAATGGGCCTAGAAATCATATCATGGTGCTCCAAGTGTTTGATGAGAGAAAGATGAGCCAGTCATTAGAGAATGCTGTCTCCCACTTGGGAGGAGTTCCCATGCTTATGAGCTGAACTGACCTGGGTATATAGAAAAAAGATAACATGAACTCTTGGGGTCTGTTCTAGGTCTGTTTCTTGACAGAGAAAAGAGAAAGTTTCTGATGTCTTAATTTTATTTAGCTCAGCTCACTAAAATAGGATGTCAAAAAGGGATCTAGAATAGAGTTGTGGATGAAAAACGGTATATATTTGGCTGTTCCTATTAGAACAGTGAATGAGGACATATGGTCCATGAAGAGGAGGTAAAAGTAAGATCACCTGGAGAAAGTAAGTATAAATCTCTGGTGGGGCTCATAAATGATTGTGTATATAAAGAACTGATATAGGTATGCAGCAGATAATAAACATCAGTTGTATAAGACAAAGTAAACAAGGAAACTCAGTTCATCTTACTGTTTGAGTATTTAAGACATGTTCTCAGAAGCTGAGCAACAATGAAAGTGAGCCAAAATCTAAAAGGGACAGGATGTGGTTAATCATTTCAAGAATTCAATTTCCATGGTTCCCTATCCTTAAACAAGCCTACATATTTTACCTAAACAGCTATTTATTCAGGATAAAACTTCTAGATAAAATTTACTTGGTTTTATTTTGGACTTTTTTTTTTGCCTTGACATATACTAGGCTGCTCCCACCATTAGTTAATCAGAACAAACTTCTCCTGTGTCCCATTGTTATAGTAGCAATATGCAGTCAGCAGATTCCTCTCAACTATCAGAATTTTGATATTTATCATTCACAAGTTAGCATCGAATGACTTATATTTAAAACAGTCATTTCCTCTCAGATTCATACACAGTTGACCCTTGAACAACCATGAGTTTGAACTGTGCCATTCCACTTTTATGTGAATTTTTTCCCTGGCCATAGGTTCTGCTCTCAAGCATTCAATCCATCATGGTGCTGGTCGGTTGAGTCAGCAGAGGCAGAACTGATGTAGATGCAGGAGGGCTGACTATCAGATTACATGCAGGATTTCAACTGCAGGGGCAGGCACCGGCACCCATAACCTCAAGGTGTTCAGGTTTCAACGGCATATAGTTTTGGCTCACAAGATTTGTTGATTAGACCCTCCTTGGCAGCACAACAGGTTAAAGCACACAGCACTACAACATTAGATAAAGCTGCTTCAGCACGAGTTCCATCCCTGGCCAAGGAGGTGACCCACATGGTGCAACAGACCTCTCCTGGGCCTCCCACTGCTCCCCTCAGCAGTGTACTTCATCTAGGTTCCTGTTCTGTTCTCGCTCTATCTCTGGTGAATCCTCTCACCGCTGCTGTACCTCTGGTCTGTACCCCAGTTCTGTATGCATAAATAAATCTTTTTTAAAAAGTCAACATAGAACAGTAGGTTTTAAAAAACCTTAATTTAACACATACAATAATAACTGTTGTCCCACTCTAACCAAGTTCATAAATTCTAGACATAAAACAACCAAGAAAAATCTGTATAAGATATAAAATAATACCAAGAAAAAATAAAAGAGGAACTTAGCGCATCAGAATTTTTTTTTAAAGATTTTATTTATGCATATAGAACTGGGATACAGGCCAGAGGTGTGGGGGTGAGAAGATTCACCAGAGACAGAGTGGGGAACAGAACAGGCTGATTGAAATACACTGTTGAAGGGAGCAGTGGGAGGGTCAGGAGAGTTCTGCCATGTCATGTGGGTCACCTCTCTGGCCAAGAATCAAACTCGTGCTGCAGTGGATGCAATAGCTTCACAGTGCTGTGCTGTAACTGGTTGCGCCACCAGAGAGAGGGCCCAGAAAAGAATTTTAGAAGACAAGAGAAATCTAGTAAAATTGTAAGAACTGCATCTCTTTTTCTTCACTAGTTCCAGTTACATAGTGCTACACTGGTCACTGTATGCCAAATTTAGAAATGGATACTAAGAAAGCAAAATTTAGCAGAAAAAGCCTGGATAAGCAAGATGATTTCCACATTTAACAAATCTAGAAGTTTGATAAACTTAGAAGTTCTGTTCTAAATATAAATCTTTCTGGTAGAGCAATTGGAGTCAACTAAAGCTGGATTGAAATTCAGACCATTGTTCTATCAAGCAGTTAAACAGTATCATTGGCATTTGCCCCACAATACTAACAAGTAAGAAGGCAATACAATGCCCTAAATAAACTCAGTAACTGCTGGACTATTACCTTTGTGGACTCACACAAAATGGCATTTACCTAACATTCTTCTTGACACAATCAAGAATATAAGCTACCTGATTCCCAACATTAAGCATTGATAGTTCTTCTAAATATTTCTGCCAATAAAGAACAACTATGCTATTAAGAGATATATTCGTGCTGACCAACAAAACATTATCACATTCTCTAATTACAAAATCACTTAATTCTAGAGACAAAGATTACCAGTGGCACAAGGCATTAAGTGTCAGCACTATGAAGCTATCGTCAGCCAATGCAGTAGGAGTTTGATCTCTGGCTAGGGAGCTGACCCACTATGTGCAGCAGACCTCTCTTGTCTCGAATGCTGCTCTCCTCAGCAGTGTATTTCAGTAGATCAGTCTGTTCTGCTCCCCACTCTTGTCTTAGTGATCCCCTCATCCTCCCACCCTTTTGGCCTGCACCCTAACTCTTGTATGCATAAATAATTCTTTTCTAAAAAAAAAAAAAAAAAAATCACATATTCCAAACAATACACTCACTATTTAAATAGAGAATGGTTACTTCTTAACTTTGCATTTTCTGCTTCTAAGATTATGGAATAAAGAAAATATAGGAAAAGAATAATTCCATCAAGTCTGATAAGTTGTTTTGGTGATCTCAGATTTTACCCTATAGGAAATTAAGTCTGTTAACAGCAAACATTTCCAAAGCTAAAAAGTGATGTCAAGGGGCTTTCTTGGTGGCATAGTGGTTGAAGTTCCAGCACTATCAAGCTATTACCAGCCACTGCCACTGTGGCATCAGTTTGATCCCCAGCCATGGAGCTGACCCACATGACACAGACCTCTCCTTTCTGGCCTGCTGCTCCCCTCAGCATTGGATTTCAGCAGATCCACCTGTTCTTCCCATTCTGTATCTAGTGAATCCTCTCACTCCTCTCTCTAGCTTTCACCCCAGTTCTTGTATGCATAAAATAAATCTTGAAAATCTTGAAAAGAAAATGTTAGAAATACAAAATTCTGTATTTTCATAGACTGATGAAGACTCAATCATTTTCAGATTGATATACCGCCAAAGGAAAAATTTGACCTATGAAATATTTAATAAAATTTCTCTTTAAATCTCATTTATAAATCTATGTAGAATATATCACAGTCCCAGCCCTCCCTGGTGGTGTAACGGGTTAGGACGCAGCACTGCAAACTAGCAGCAGCTGCTTCAGTGCGAGTTCAATCCTAGCCCCAGAGGTGATCCAGACTGGCGCAGCAGACCTCTCCTGACCTGCCCGCTGCTCCCCTCAGTAGTGTACTTTGTTGATCTGCCTCTTCAGCTCCCCTCTCTGTCTCTGATGAATTCTCTCATCACCCCTGCACCTCTGGTCTGTACCCCAGTTCTGTATGCATAAATAAATCTTAAAAAAAAAAAAAAGAATGTATCATAATCCCTCAGATAAAAAAAGCAAGCTCAAGTTCACAAAAAAGTAATAACATGTTAGGTTTTGATACCAAACATTTTGAGAATGAATTGAACACAAAAGATTCTATAAAATAATGCTCACCTGATGGGTGCTGAGGGGAGCTCTTGACTTTGAGCCTCCTCTTCTTGCTGGGCTTCACAGACACAGCTAAACACAGGCAAGGTCTTGGGAGGGCTAAAATAATAAAGCAATACACTATGCTAGTTTTGAAATGAACAGTACTTGTGGATACTTATCTTTTTAGGCAAAAGGGGAAATAAAATTATTTCTCTGCACTCCAAATTTCAAACCACTTTATACCAAAATGCAAATCTTCATACTAACTGAAAATTAGCATAATAAAGACACTCAAGGATGAAGAGTCATTAAGTATGGTTGACAGATTATATTAAATCTCATAAACATGCAATTAGCAAATTCCACAATGCAGGAGGGCCTAGACAAAGCTGGTTAGCTTATTCTATAGATTGCAAGAACTAAAAAAGAGAAGAGGGTCCCTAACTGATGAAGAGAGATTTAACTTAGAAGACATATCAATCACAGGCACTGTGCATAACCTGTTTGGACCTTAATTCAAACAAACTGTTGAAAAGTTATGAGGAAATCAAATCTGGATACTGAGTATTTGGTAGCATTAAGGAATCACTGTAGTTCTATGATGAGCTAGCACTGAAATATTTTCTAGTAAAATTGTATCATTCTTGAAACAGTGGCAAGAAAGCACCTGAAATATTGATTAATCAATCAAGACTGGTCATGAGTTGTTAATTTTTGACATGGTGCATTAAAATACTATTCTCTCTACTTTCAGATAAGCTTGAAATTCTCCCAGTTAAATGTTTGAGAGAGAAATCAGATGACTGCAAGTAATGTGAATAGAGCCCAGCTTCAGCAAAACTTAAAACAGAGTATTACTGCATCATCTAATATCTGAGATCATTTAAAATAGTCTAACAATTTGCTTTAAATGATATTTTATGGTAAACCTAATGATACAAGTGAAAAAAAAAATCCACGGTTTTTAAAATCTAGATTCTCATATACAATTTTTTTAATCTTTTTTCATTTTTTTCCATTCCTACATTCTACTGATGGATTCACAGAGCTTCAGCAGCATGTTCTGTTCTGTCTTACAGCCACTTGTATAGTCCAGTACCAAGTTGTATCTGGTACAGAATTCTATTAAAGTCAAACAGATTAAGTGTAAATTTCATTTTCTCCTATTTGCAATACAGATTGCATATGACTAAAGGGTCTTCAACTGAACAAGGACACCAAGGTCCAAGATATTTTATCTTTCAGGTTAAATATAAAAGAGCAGCCCCTCCCTAGCGGCGCAACAGGTCAGGAGCAGCACTGCAAGCTGGCCGCAACCACTTCAGTGCGAGTTCGATCCCCAGCCCGGAGGTGACCACATGGTGTGGCAGACCTGTCCTGACAGCCCGCTGCACCCCTCAGCAGTGTACTTCGTCGATCTGCCTGTTTTGCTTCCCACTGTCTCTCATGAATCCTCTCACCGCCCCTGCACTGCTGGCTTGTACCCAAGTTCTGTATGAATAAATCTTTTTAAAAATAAATAAATATGCAAGCGCTCAGAGAAAAATTCCTCTCTATAAGATTATAATAACTACATATAAACCAAAGTTTTCTGACAAGGGAAGTCAGAATTAGTCCATAGGAATGTCTTATTTGACTTTCCAAGCAGAAGATTGATTTTTAAAATTGCAGTGTCTCTTTTAAAAGATTAAACTTTGACAACAACTAAGTTTGCATTCTTACACAGTAACAATCAACTAGAGTTGACTGGCAGCAGCTAACCCTCTGGTAAATGGGGCACACCTTCAGGAGCCACTGCCCTCCACACCTCATGCTCTTGCCTGTTTTACTTATACACCAGTTGCTGCTAATATTTTCATGCTGGATGACTCTTGCAAGAAAGAAATGATACGCTTCTACTCCTACAGCCACCAGATGGCAAAGTTTAACCACCAAAACCTCAAGATGAGGGTCATACTCATTCTCAAAGCATTACAGCATTCATGACAAAGCAAAACTCCTCACAGTGGTTAATTTCACAAGCAGAAAAAATGGCCCAAAGTTGTGATTGAACAGGGAATCTCAAAAAAATAAACCAAAGTCTAAGGCTCTCTGCTGCTAAACCTTCTATTTCTCACCCAAAACAACAGCAATCTCAGTCTCAACAGAAAAAGAAAAAAAATGGCACTCCAGACTGACAGAGAGAAAGATCTCTAAATTATCTTTGTGCTAAGGACAGCAAAGGTTTTATTAGACTTAAAGCACTAATAAGAAAGCCTTCTATAAACGCAAAACATTGCTGAGCCCTTTATGCTAGAGTTACGCTTTAAGTATTTCCTCCTCTTGATAAATCATCTTCCCCTCATTACCAGTGGCTTTGTATATCAACCTCCTCGAAATAGCAAGCAGCTCTGGTTACCTGGCAACAGCCTCAGCAGCAGCAGTAGATCCATTTTTTCTTTCACCAGTTGTAGGCTCTGAACAACAACAAAAGCAAGGAGAGAAAGAAAACAAGCAGAATTTAGTACCACACCTAAAAACCTTTATGAAAACCTGCTAACTAGTATTTGCAACAAATAAAAACAAGAACAATTATCAAATATAGAAAGATTTATTGTAATTTAATGGTCCAGGTTTTTTTCACTTCCACAAATAAATTTTCAGGTCTCTTATAGAAGACAATGTAGTTTGTCCAAAAATACAAATGATAAATGACTAAACAATAACATTAAAAAATGAAAATATAATTTCTACTGAACTTCAATTCTCTTCTGTAGTAAGAAAATACAAAAAAATTGAAAATTTTATAACAAACTTAAAGACTTAAACTTAAACAACTTCAATAAATTACGTAGGAGTCATAAATTGACAAATTCTTAACAGTGTGCAGCTTTAGGAGCACCCACAGCCGGGCCTGAAGTTGCTCCCCGGGGCCTGTAAGGGCATGAGTGCTGCAGTGACAGGATTCTCACCAGCCAGGGTGCCTGCTAGGAGCAGATCTTTAAACACTAAAACACATTATAAAGAATCTGTCACAAAGAATTAAGGGTGACATCTGAAAGAATTCTATATTTTCAGCAATGTCACTAATGTCAAGGAACTAAAATGTGCTCATTTATCATTTACTCTCATTTTAGAGGAAATAACATACATTTTAAACATTTCTAAACTATACACAACCCGACATTTATCTAAACAGTCTATTAAGGAGACAGCTGAGTTTAGTAGTTAGAGCCCTGGATTTAAAAGAGAAACCTGGACCAGGCTGTGGCAACAGCACTTAGTCTAACCTTCATCTTCTGAGTCTGTCCCCTCACTGATCAGATAGGACCAATCTCATAGATTATGGCATATAAAAAATATTCCAAAAATATTAGTTATTTTTGGGTCTGTCCTATTCAAGATAACTTACTCTATCTGCAATCTTTGACAGCATTACCTCCTCTCTCCCTCAGAGCCATGATCCATTAACTCTTTCCCCCATTCTCTTATTTTTTTTTTTTATTAAAAAGTTTATTTTTGGGCCCTCCCTGGTGGCGCAGCGGGTTAAAGCACTGCACTGAGAATCTAAAGCCACTTCAGCATGAGTTCAATTCCCGCCTACCCCGGAGGTGACCACATGGTGTGGCAGACCTCTCCTGACCCACCCGCTGCTCCCCTCAGCAGTGTACTTCCTCGAGCTGCCTGTTCTGCTCCCCACTCTGTATCTGGTGAAGCCTCTCACCGCCCCTGAGCCTCTGGCCTGTACCCCAGTTCAGTATGCACAAATAAATCTTAAAAAAAAAAAAAGCTGTTGTTTAAAAAAAAAAAGTTTATTTTTACATCATTTTGCACATTTTTTTTATTCTCTTATTTTTAATCTTCCCACCCAGCCAAGATCTCCTTTTAATCTAAAAACAAAACTAAACAAAAAATCCTTTAATCCTGTTATTTCCTTCATACCTTCTCACAAACTTCTGAAAACTAAAATATATTTGCCATTTTCCTCCTTATCACTCCTCCAATCACCTTCAGTATACCTGAACCCAGACTACTAGAGTGAAAGTTCCTGTCACAATCAAATAAACCCTAACGGACATTTTTCCAGATAGCATGTTCGATTTCCCTGTGTCTAACTAACACTGCTTTCTTCTTGCAATTCCCTCCTGCATAGGTTTCCACTCTCTCTCTCTCAAGTCTTCCTCTCTGACTATTCTTCCCCTTTACAATATCTTTTTTAAGACTTCTACTTCTTTTAACTCCAATAAAAAGCACTTACAAACTACCTACTGGAAAACTACTAGAAATCAGACAGATAACTAATTCAAAGTCCAGTTCAACCTCTTAGCATTTATTGAATCACATAACTGAAAACCTTAGTTTCTCATCAATAAAGTAGAAATATGGATACCAACTTTAAATGAGATGATAGAGTAGACATAAAGTCACTGTATTTCTCCCTAACCCCAACCTTTTATCTACCATCTATTCACCTCTCAAACTGATCCTTTCATCTCCATCTCCACTATCAATAGTTCCATTTCCTGATGAAAGGACTGAGAAGGAGGAGCTTATCAGACAGGAGAACAAGAAATGTGCAATAAAAGATGCACAAAGTTTTACAAAGAGTCAGCTGACTCTTTTGAAAAAGCAAATCTAATTCTAGTATTTCCTTGCCTAAAATTCTTCAGCTTCTCACCATGATATAAAGGCTTTTCAGAATTTCACCCCTCCTTTGTAGGCACACCCCTGTACCCTCTCTCTATTCTACTCATATCAAACAAAATAAATGGAGAAATGGTCAACTTACATTGACCATCTACAACGTGAATCCACAGTCCTAAATTTCTACCTTTCTCTGGACTGTTTCTAAGTATGGAAGCCAATTACTTTAAAGAGACACAGGTCAAAAACACAGCACCACCACCAAGATCATAAATGAAGCATGTTGAATAACGTGATCATGACTGGCAGAAAGATTTAACTTGAGAAGAAAACTATACAAATACATTCATAATTATAAATTATGAATCATTATATCATTATAATTAGAAGAAAGACAATTAACTCTTTCCAAATGATCTGGAGCTACTTGTCACCAAAAAATGCCATAAAATAAAACTTACTTTCCAGGCTAAACTGCAAAGACTCTTCGCTTGCCTCAGTCTCAGGACTAACCAGTTTCATTCTTAGACACAATTTATCGTCTGTCTCTGGAGTAGCTCCAGAATCTCCTTTTTCATTCTCATTTATGGGATCATTGGTCTCCACCATGCTTTCAGACATAACATCACTGGCTGCTATGGTGCTTTCTGGATAATTGCTAGTACCTGAAAGAAGGGAGGCAGGAGGAAGAAAGACAGAAAACTAAGATACAAACATGAAAAAAATTCATTTGCCTGTCTGGCTCCATAGCTCTGCAGGATTGGAGGGGACTGATTCCTAGGATAGATCCTGTTACAAGTAACAACTACGCACTAGATTGACACCTGGTCTTAAGAGGAGCAACAGGATTCAGTTCCACTTCTGCATCTGGACAAAGGATGCTGCATGAGCCCTCAGCCAACCCACATCTGCCAGCATCAGGCATAGGTAGCAGGAGACTCCAGACGGCATGATTGTTACCTCCCAGCACTGACTAGAGAAAACAAATAGGTTAATGTAGAAGACTACTGGCTGCTTCAGGGAAGGAGGATCTAAGTTTTCATACCCTGTCAAGCAGCAGACTCATTAGCCAAAGTGCTGAACAGACAGTACTTCTGCTCTACCTGCTGTACCTTTCTCCTAAAACCGTTCTGTACCATTGGTTAGCAATCAGATCCTATTGGTAATAATGGTATACTCAGGAAAAGTCTCTTCCATCCTTCCACCCTTTCTGACTTTCTCTTCATTACTGCTCAACTCCTTCTGGGAGTAAACTCATGAAATCAAACAACACAGCCTTAATCTTTTAAAGTAAAAATCAACCCTGGTAGGCAAACTCAGTTCCTCACATCTAAAAGAATCACTGGCATATGACCTCTCAAAAATTTTGCTTCAAACATCAGTTACATTTTAGTCACTCACCAATAGGAGTACTGTGTCTTTTGGGCTCCAATTTTAGGTGCCCAATAAGAGGTGGAGTTGCACCCGTCAGTGGTGGAATAACATCACCTTCTTTCGGCAAAGTGAAATGAAATGGAGCTTCTGGGGGGGAAAAAAAAGCAAAACCATAATAAACAAAAAGAAAATCCTAGGGAAAGTATCTTAAAAGCCCAACTGAGGAGAAATACAAGAAATATTTCAATTATTATTATTTTCCTTTGCTCCCATACTTGCCTCAATCCCAATCTTCCTCACCAGGCCTCTCAACTAATTTCCTACTTTTCTTTCTGACTTTTTTTTTTCTTTCTTTTTAACAAAGAGAACATCAACAGGAGAAAACTTATACAAAGGAGACAACCAGGACAGGCAAATAAATTCCAAAATTTGAAGACCCTGAGGGATGTGGGGTCAAAAGGAACACTGATAAACATGAGCTCCAAGTGGAGCTACTGTTCCAAATGTCATACAAATTTATATAGTTTTAAGTCTAGACAATTTAATCTTCTGCAATACTAACCCAAGGAATTCATTTATAGCCTTAGTTGTTTATAGGATTCTTCAGATTAAAGTCATACTGATAATTCACCAACTACTCAAAGGTATGACACAGGATCTCATGAGTTAAATATACTCATTGGTTCTATTAGTAACACAGAAATCTACCGGTTTCCTGGTTCAGCATTACTGACCAACATTCATCTAAGCCATAGTAGTAATGCCCATATCTAAACTCTGCACATAAAAACTAGGCATTTATGGGCATCCCCTGTGAACACATTAGTCATCATTAAATTAATACAAACATAAAACATCTGTCAAGATGTAAAAATTTTTAACTAGACCTCAGTGTCAAGTTTTTGCTAATCAGAATTAGCAAAATATCAAAATCACATTTTCTGATTTCCTAATTGCTTTTAACAAAATGACCAAATTTGAGGGGGGGGGATAATTAAAACGAACATGAAATTTGCCATTATTTTCTGGAATGACTCTAAATAGTCTAGCATACTCAAACACTATTCCTTATGAAAATAGTTCATCTCCAACACGACCAAACAATTCTCCAATTCCTAGCAGATACTGTCTTACAAATTTAACTCAATCCTGACATTATTTACCTGGAAATAGTAACAAAGGTTTGGTCCCATAAGACTGACCCCACTTTAGCCACCATTCACAAAACCAGGTGTTGTGCTTCTGTTCAACTACCTATATATCAGAGGTTCCCACAAACCCCTCCCTCAGATTTGACCAATTTGCCAGAATCCCTCATACAACTCAGAGTTCAGTTTACCAATTTATTATCAAAGATTCCATAAAGAGCACAGATAACAGCCAGATGAAGCAAGTACCTGGGGTGAGGTCCAGAAGGGAAGCTCTGACAGCAGGAACTTCAGTCCTAGTGAAAATGGGTGTCTACCCTCAGACATATTTATCCGGAAGCACCTTTAGTTTTCAAGTTTTATAAGGCTTTAATCTCTAGCCCCTCCCTTTCCTGTAGTTTGTGGGTAGGGCTGAAAGTTCACCCTCTAATCACTTTCAGTGAATAGCCCATCACGAAGCTAGGTGATCCTGAGGTATTCCTCCCCTTATTAGCATAAACTGAAGAGTGATTAAAAGGGCATAAAAATAAGATTTTCTATCACTCAGGAAATCATCAGGTTTTAGGAACTCTGTGCCAGGAATTGGATGAAAACCAAATATTACAGTAGCCCCCCTTACCCCTGGGGGGAAGTTCCAAGACCCCCGGAGAATGCCTGAAACCTCAGTACTGAACCCTATATATACACTGTTTTCTTCTATACACATGTATCTATGCTAAAGTTCAATTTATAAATTAGGTGCAGCAGAATATTAGTAACAATAACTAGTAATAAAACAATTATAACAATATACTGTAATAAAAGTTATGTAAATGTGGTCTCTCAAAATATCGTATTGTACATGTATTTTCAGACCTTGGTTGACAGTCGTAACTGAAACTGGAAAGCGAAATCGCCGGTAAGGGGGAACTATTGTATGCCACATTTTTCTTCTTTCATCTTTTTTCCACTCCATTTCTATCCTTTATTATCTTTAATATCAAGCATTTTGATATTTTTTCCTTCAAAAATCACAAAACAATAAAAACCATCTCATATCTACATAGAAGAGAAAATGAATTAGTAACCTGAAGGGATGAAAAAGAAAATGAAATGGACTTTAGAAATAAAGGAAAAGCACATATACTCAGCTAGAGAAACTGTAAAGAGTGTGAATGGAGACTCCCAGCATCACATCTAAATGGGACAGACTTCCACCTCAATTATAGATAAGAGAAATGGGTCAGGTAGATTAAGCATTCCATTTTCTGGCAGTGCCTTAAAAAGCAAATCCTTTAGGTTATTAAATACTTCAGAGGAAAAGAAAAAACTAAAAACAAAACATATCAAAACGCTTCATGTATTTCAAAGATATATTTTACAGAATTTTCATTTCTGGAACTAATGAAAGAACGACCACCTCCAAACCAATGGGTGAGTGACACTACTCACAGCCAACTCTGTAGTAGTAAAAGGCAGAGAGACCTTTCAGTTCCCACCCCCAACATTCTGAACAGAAACTACTGGAAGCTAGGGGCAGAGCAGAGCCACCAAGTGGACTCTGGAGCAATGGAGCACAGACAGGTGGCTCGCTTTTTTTTTTTTTTTGGTTGGCGGCCAGTTGTTCCTGGTCTCTGCTCAGTGGATGCTATCTATGGGTAGGAGAGATATTATCTGACCATATGCTAGCAGGGAACTTCTCTCTCAGTTCTAGCTCTACCTTTTCTCACCCCGTATGTAAATAAATCCTTTCCTATCCTTTTTTCTAGTGTCTGCGTATCTGGTTTTGGATCTTGTCCTATATTCTAAACCATAAAGTGCAGACATACAAACAAGTCACCCTCATTCTCCCCTGGTTCTACCCAATAACACAATCACCTGCACTGCTCTTTGGCACCCTCCCTCACATTGACTATCACAATCTTTGAAAATCTGTACTGTGAAAATTAATTTACAGAAAACCTAGTTAAGGCTGGTAAATTAAGGGGAGAGTGCCCATCCTTATACAATTTGAACATCCTCAAATTGCTCTATATCTCTGTGGAAAAGTGATGCCACCACCCACCACTCCCACACCAGCAGAAGGAAGGAGGAAGAGGTCCTCCTTACACAGAAGCCCCTCTAAAGGCTTATGATCTGGGCAAGTGTACAACTGTCTCTCCATGAGACTGCAGTTTCCAAACCCCCTCTTTATAACTGTTTCCAAATAATCCCTTTTTGCTGAGGAAATAACTGGTTGCTTTGTGTTCAAGATCAATACAAAATCTTTAAGCAGACCTATCTATGCAGGAAACCATAATACGTAAACATATTATTAAAAATTATCTCCCTGTAAAAGGCACTTCCCTTGCACAATACAAGATAAAATTTAGCAAAAGTAACACCAGTGGACCACCTATACCACTACAACCTACTGGGAAACATGGATCTTTTATGGGGAGCACTCCCACTACCCTTGTCAAGATCTTCAGTCTAATTCCTGGATTATAAAAGCCTAGCAATTACTTTTTCAGCCTTAAGTCTCCCCCACCCCCCAATTCCTTTCAAATGAACTACATGTCAGCTCCTGGTCACTAACTTTGTTTCCACTTATTGCTGGATAAATCTGATTTTTCTTGAGCCACAAGTTTCCTTTTGTATTTCAGAGATAATGGCCTTATTATTTCTGCAGTGTTTGGTAAATCCTGATACATTAGCAAATCCTGTGATTTGCTTCCCTTAGAATGTTGTGAAATTGCAGAAGAGCAAGACAGTCAGTGCAGCTGATCTCAAAGCCTCTGATCCACTGAATCTAGGGTTGTCTCTTTGTCAAGGAACTTGATTAATGGAGCATGTGACTTGACTGACTGACCTTGCTGGTAGACCCCATCTTGCTCCATCATTCTCCTACATTATTTAAGTTATCAAATCTTCTCTTGCTTTCCCAGATTATCCTAGGTTATCCTTCCATTTGTCTACCTATCATCACATGAAGATATAAATGAACAAAAGAAAACTTAATACCAACTGTCAAACCATCTGTGTGGGGAATTCATTCTTATTACCAAAGAATTTCAAGGGGGGCTTCCCTGGTGGCACAGGAATTAAAGACAGCACTATCAAGTTAGCAACAGGCACTGCAGCATGAGTTCAACCACCCCACCAGGGAGCTGACCCATAAGGCAAAGCCAACCTCTCCTGTCTTGCAGGCTGCTCGCCTCAGCAGTGTATTTCAATAGATCTGCCTGTTCTGCTCCCTAATTCTGTCTCTGGTAAGTCCTCTCACCTACAGGCCACACCTCTGGCCTACACCCCAGAGTACTTCCTGTATGCATAAATAAGTCTTAAAATATATATATGAGATTCAGCTTCCAATTAAAAAAAAAAGAAGTTCAAGAATTCATTAGTCCAAAGCAGTATTTAAAACCTTTAGTGTCGAGAACTGATCACTTCTTAGCAATTAAGTAAAAGTCATCTAATTAAAAATATAAGAATTTCTATATTGGGTGACACCATCCATAAATAGTCTATCCTAAAAACCTGCCAAAAAAGATTACAGCCAAACAAAAAAAAACACAGCTAGCTTCCCTAGTATAGAATAGGATCTGTGGACTTAAATCTGTGGAACTTTTTAAAACTGTTCACGTCATCAACCCATCATAAATTTACTTTAGAATGAACCAGTTTTGGCTTCTAAGTACTACCTTTCTAAATTTGCTTTTTTCACATTTCAACAGGAGGTCCCTAAAGACAGATGTCTGAGAAATCTCCAATTTGTTAAATTTATCTATAAATGGAGATAGTGATTTTCTCCTTTTCTTTCCTCTCCCCCCTCTCCACCCCCATCCTCCCCACCCAATGCCTGAACATTTTCCCCAATTAAACATGTATATTTTAGTCAATAAAGCAATTTTAACAAACAACTCAGATGCCCTTTTAACTTGGCATTCAGAAATTTAATGAATAAACCTGGAACTCACCCAAATCATTCTATTCTTCCAGAATGAACCATTAACTTTTTAGATTATTCTTAAGTCACCCATAAGGGTTAGCAAACAATTATACTTCAAATACAGAATATATCTTCTGCTCTAGAAATGCTCTACTGAATGATTTGCTTTAAATCTAAATCTCTAATAGTCAAGACCCATCACTATCATTTTCTTATATTTAGCGAAAACTATTTTAGCTTCTGTAACCACAATCTCCACTGCTTTTAGAAAATATTTTCAGGTATTTTCAAATAACCTGAATAAATACTAAGAAAATCAGTTTCATTATGGCAGTATCTACTATAAAAGAGAGAGCTGGCCCTGCCAAATAGTGTGACTAATGCATAGAGAATACTTTTGTAACAATAGAGTATCACATACCAGTGTTTTAGAAGTTTCTTCTGCATGTAATTGCCAAGATAATTAAAAGCACTCCTTTGTAACCACATTAAAACAGTCTCTATGTCCTGATAGCTGTATAGTCAAGGTCATTAACACTATTTAAATATAATGAAATAGGTCATTCAAATAGTTATTTCCCCTAACTGAAAGAAACTACTATACAGTTTTACCAAAGAACTGGGACTCAGAAGCCCGAGGCTCTAATACTACCTCAGTCTTTCAACACGTAACTTGAGACTGTTCCCAACAGCCTTTTAACATCCTTTTCAGCTCTAATGTTTCTTGTTCTAAAGAGGGGGAGAAAATTCCTGAGTATAAATCCTAATGAAAAGTGACAATTTTGAGAGTTTAAAAAAAAAAAAAATACTAGTTATAATCAATCATACCTAGAGAAGAGGTTAAGTACTGGGACCGTTCAAGCACACCAAAAAGTAAGATGACCCATACTAAAAGATAGGATGCTACCCAAATACTGCTTCTCATTTCCATATTCCTTAAGAAAACTGCTTGTTTTCTTAAGCTTATAATTTCTTTTTAAGTTTTCTTTCCTTTTAAGTTTAATTACACTAAATCTGGGAAGTCAGAAAATTTCAACTATTCAGCTAAAGTCATGTATAGTAGTCTACAAATATATATTCTCATTCTTCTACTTTAAGATTTAAGATGGATATATAGTGAATCAAATTTAGAAATAATACTCAAAGAGGGAACAAATCTAAATCAATGTAACTATTAACAAAAGTTCTGAATGTGATTTTATTGTGTAGGGTAATCAAAATAGAGCCTTCTTCATTAAGTTAACTGTCGTTAGTTTTAAAAATGTTAGGACCAAAGGAGAGAATACCAAACTGGCACATATTCAAAGAATTTTAAAGTCTATCTTGATTATATCTGGATTGTAAAGCTGATAAAACTCAAATGGTCATTGACTTCACAAATTATTAAAGCTACAAAAAAACCCTATGTTTTAATTTTCCAATTACTTTGGCTGTCCAAGTAAATTTTCAGCCCTCCCACAAGATGCATGTCTACTATTCAGCTTTACAGTCAACACAATGTACAATCACACTCACCACTAGAGCTTTCACAGAAGCTTTGTGAGGCCTGTGCAGAACCCTTCTCCAGTTGCTGCGCCTCACCACCTGAACCCAGCTGATCTGCATTATCCATTTTTGAGTCCTCTGATAATGAATTAGCTGTCTTCTCTTGAGGTTGGGCCTGCTGCATCTCCTGACTGGATTTCACAGCATCATCTGTTGTTCTCTCTAAAGTCAAGGCAGGCTGTGGAGAGGCTGCCTCTACTGGTTCCTTTTCTGCAGTCACCGATTTCAGGTCTCCTTCATATTCTGCGCTCTTTTCTTCCTGGATATCTGCTCTATTCTCAGCACATGGTTCTATTTCTGGAGCGTCATCCTCCCACAACTGGGAATCTGAGCATTTCTCCACTCCCTCCAAAGGTTCTGAAGAAACATCAACTCTGGGAGATGGTTCCTTCACATCTACAATGACAACACTGGAGTCCTCTGAAGTAGCTTCTTCCCAAGCTTCCTGATCTTTATGTTCTAAATCCTGGTCAAGTACTGGAAGTTTTTGGGGGGAATCAATACTAATCACACTGGCTTCAACTTCCATTGCCTCCTGGCATTCTTGTTTTGGGATTTCCTTTGAAAGACACAATCCTTGGGATTGCGTTTCAGCCAGAGAAAGGTGCAATGGGACACTCTCCATATTTTCTTCTTTGGATTCCTCACCTTGACTTTCACAAGGAGTCTCAGGGATTTCTTCCACATCAGAACCTGTAGACCCCTCCTCTGGATGATGCTCTTTTATTTCCATAGCTTCCTCTTGATCTAGCATACTAGAGAGTGCCTCCGATCTAGTAGCTGGAGAAGGAACTGCCTGACTCCCTGAATCACAGGTGAGATCAATACAAACATCTTCTACCACAGTCTCTTCTCTGTCTTTGCAACCAGTAGCTAAAATACTACTGTCATCTCTGGTTTCTATATCATCTCCCTTTGTTTTGTCATCATTATGACTCAGTTCTACTTGGCCATCTTGTGCTGGATTCATTAGGATATTATCATTTTCAGGAACAAGTTTAGAATTGAGAACAGGAGACAGGGGTTCAGTATCCTCAATCTGTGTGTTTTCTCCATCTTCATCAATCCTTTGAGAACTCAAGTTCTCCATCTTTGGGGACTGACTATACTCACTTGCAGAAAGCATCAACTTACAAGAATCCCCTGTCAAAGACAGCCCAAGATCCTCAGTGGAATTCTTTGGTTCAGTCTCTGAATTTTTTGAACACTCAACAGTCAAAGATGAACTATGTAAGACTTCACTTTTCTTCCCATCATTTGATCCTTCTTCTAAGCTTGGAGATGGAATGAAAATGTCCTAATAAAGAACAAAAAGAGCTGTATCATTTGCTCATACTCATATTTATTTTATAACTAATCTTTTAAATCAATTATTCAAGAGTTAAACTCCAAGGCTACAGTCTTAACAACTACAAAGCTCATAATCACTGACATTTTCCACAATACAAGTCTCCTTTAACATTTGTCCTATGAATTACTTAGAAAGAATAAGCATACTTCAAACCAAAACCTGAAAGCATAAACTTACCCTGTTAAGGATAGGTAAACAACTTAAAATTAACTAAGCTTATAAAATCATTCCATATATAGGATGAGTCTTCTATTACATAGGAATGTTTTGAACATGTGCCTAACACAGCCCACTTCAGTTCTCACAAAGTGGATATACTTATTTTACTTCCCACTCTTTCAAAATATGCTAGCATTCATAAAAACAGAAGTTAAAATCCAAAGTTTATATCATTAATCAGTGGATATCACTATTAGCCAACAAGAGGGCTGAACAACTACAATTTTCATATGTTGTTGGGGGAACACAAAAAATACAGCCATTTCAGAAAACATCAGGACAATATCTTACAAAGTTAAAAATATACATTACCATATGGCCCAGAAATTTAACTTAACCCAAAAGAAATAAAATGATATAGCCAAACAAAGATGTATTTGTAAATATTCATAGCAATAGTCATAATGACCAAAAAAAAAAAAAAAATGAAAAAAAAAAAAAAAAAGCAACCCAAATGTTTGACAACAAACAAAAAATGGATACCCATGTTATGGAATACTTTTCATTAGCATTAAAATAAAAATACATGCGGCCCTCCCTGGTGGCGCAGCGGGTTAAAGCACAGCACTGAGAATCTGAAGCCACTTCCGTATGAGTTAGATTCCCGCCTGCCGCCTGCCCCGGAGGAGACCACATGGCGAGCCAGACCTCTCCTGACCGCCCGCTGCTCCCCTCAGCAGTGTACTTCGTCGAT